CACCCACCTATTACCAAATATAGGTAGAACCAAAAGAAACAAAGTATTTTTATTTTATTTTGTAGGTACGTATGAATTCTTGTCTTGGCCTACTTATCTCAGTAATTAAGTCAATCTTTTTGCCAAGCCAATTTGTGTCTTTGTGAGGTGGGGAAGGGAAATTAAATAAGTAGTACTGTATAAGATATTTAAGTTATAAATTTATTTTTTTTTAAATGGATTGAATTGAATTGAGCGAAAATATATAGAGAAGACTGGTTGAATGAACTAAACTAATTAAGCCAAACTAAAATGTAAAGAGGAATTTTGCTGAATTAAATGAATTGTCTCATTGTTATGCTTTTGTAATTGCAATAACATAATTATTAAGGGGCAAATTTGTTAATATACTCAATTGTTTAATAAAAAAAATAGTTTATGTTGGAACAAATTGTGTTTTGGGTGTGAATTTTGTGAAAATCACAAAGTCCCACATTGGTAGGAAATGAGAGTCTTGCTCTCTTTATACAAGTGTGTAGTATATTTGGGTGTGGCCCAAGGGTTACCCACATTTTGTGGAGAGGGAAGACTTACCTACCGAGTCAACCTAACACACGCGCGCGCCTAACCGGGCTGGGCTGGATCGGATCGGATGATCAAATTGATTACCGAATTATAATTCCTTGATTTATGGTAACTGTTTTGACTGATTCCCTACCATTATTCATAACCGTTTTTATTCCAATTTTCATTCTACATTACCGTTTTTGACATTAATTTCGCTGGTTTTAAGAATGGTTTTAATGGCTACCGTTATGCTACTGCTTTGGCTATAAAAAGAATACTTTGCTCACCGTTTTCATATACAGGAAACTTTTTCTAAACTTCTTCCTCCTAAAATATAGAATTCGAGCAGTTTCTTATTAGTTTTGGTGTTTAGTTTGCCCGGTGGTTCTGTGCAAATCCACTGGTACACTATATTTTGAGAGGCTATTTTATCCTAGGGACATCCGGTGAAAGTTCGATCTGCTTGCACAAATTAAAGGCAGTACCGTGAATGTTCTATAGAGAGCGACATTGTCCGCGACTCAGTCTATTTCCCGGTAATATTGTTCTTGTTATTTTTGCTCCTGCAGTTTCGTTTATAACAGTTTATCACAAGTAGGAGAGAAGAAACAATGGAGAGAAATAAAGAGCACAGACAATATATATGAGACCCATAATCAGACACTTCGATAGACTAGAGAAGATCTGCTAATCAAGGTGATAATATGTCAACACTATTTTAATAATTTGGTGTACCATTATAAACTTATGCATCATTACTTCAAAAAAAACTAAACTTATGCATCATTATGTACACATACTAATTGTACTTAACCAAAATTTCTCTCGTGTTTAAAAATAATAATTCACTATCAACAGGTGCTCTCTCCACATTCTCTTGGTAAGTGTTTGCTACAAGAAGAAACGGGAACACGTTGAGGAGATAGCTTTTTACTATATTACACAATTTTAATTTTTTTTTTTATTTTTTTTTTTTGCTTTTAAACACAAAGAAACAAACTAATAATGTCCCACGTTTTCCTTGAGGAATATAATAAGTGAAATTGTCATATCATAAATCCACATCAAAGAATTAGACGACTTTTGCCACACAAAGAGACATTGTTTCAGACATGTCATCTACTAGATTATAACGTCTCTCTTGCCAATCTATATTATTGTTTTTGGATAATAATTATGATTTCTCTTTTGCCACCTATATGTTTATAATAAAGGTAATATGGAGGCAACTCTATTCACCATGATAAGACAATAACAATAATAGATTCATATAGAGGTTTGTTTTACCTTTTTACAAGTTTATCAACAAAAGTCTTATTGTTGATGGAAGTCACAAAAGGAAAGATTTGTATTTACAAATCAGTTCTTATTTCCTTCTGTTTTACAATTTGACAAGTGTCTAAATAGTCCTGACCTACTCTGCACAGTTGTATTGAGTGGTTCTTATTATGACTCTAATTACATAAACCTTTTAACAAGCTTATCTATTGTTGATAATAAGCTTATTGGGTGAGGGGTTTGTATGACGATGATGTGGCAAATGAACAAATTCCTTAAAAATCTACAAAATTAAGTTGGTTTAAAGGCTACTAGAAAGAAAAAAAGAAATCTAATTTTCCTTTTACCTCTATAATGCAATCTAAAAACAATATTTTTCATAAAGGGATAGTTCAATTATATTATAATTACTCTAAAAAAGGATGTTTTATAATTTATATCGGCCTTTAATTGCTATTAGATGCAAATAGGAGAAAATTATTGAAAGTAATATGACTCACTAAACTTCTAAAAGGGTTTTACATGTCAAGAAATCAAATTGAAAATGATTCATAGCCCTTTAAATCATTTAAACTAATTAATGACTCAAATCAATTAATTAACGAGTTTGCTCCAAACAATAATTAATTGTGATTGACATCATCATCGTTGGCTGAATGGTAAGTATTAAAAGCAACATATATTATTACGATAATGAAATATTTATGGGAAGATATACATTTGTAAGCCATGTAAAATTTAATTTCATACATCTGAAATATCAACCTCCTAAATTTTACTCGTACTAATAATATTATGCTCATTGTCGACCAAAGATATCGACAACTGTTTACTTGCATCGTGTGAAGCATAGTCTTTCAACTATATTTCCGTTTTTATGTTAGTCAACTTACCAATTGCAATTGGCTTTACCAAGCACTCTTTAAAGTGTTTACCAAATAAAATAAAATTGTTCCTAGTGTAGTATCAAATAAGGTAACCAATGGTATTGGTAGTTATAATATAAGCAAGTTATAAAGCTTAGTTTAGTTTTTATAAACAAGTTTAACTACTATTAGAAAATGATGTACTCAATAGTTTATTACTACAATTTGTGGCTTATAAACTAATGACATAAACGCGTAAGGTACAATGTCATTGACAAATTACGCTACATATTTCTCAAAAGTCAGTAGCATACACCAGATTTCTATTTTATTTGACATCACAAACAACTTATTTTGACCAATTTTGGTCTTCAAAATATTAAGTTGACCAGCAAAACAAATTATTTTCACATTTCCCCATCAAATAACCTACTGTATGTACATTTTTCAAGATCTCGACAACTTGAATTAATCTTCCAACGACATTCTGTCATTCTACTCTTAAGTACTTTTGTAGATGTACTTGTGCGAAAAACAGGAAAAAGTAGAGTTATGGAGTTAGCAATCACTTTTTGCTTAACCTCATGTAGTAAATAATGGGAGTACTTGATGATTCTAGTGAAAGGATTACGGAATGTGTTAGCTTGTATGTGATAAACGCAATTAATAATAACGAAGACGGAAAAATAAGTAATAAACAAGATAAGGAGAATTTATGGTGGGGAACCCGAGAATCGGGAGAAAAACCCACGAATCCACTATGGAGTAATACTTTGATGAAGAACAATGTAGTTTACAAGCTTTCAATCACCATGAAAGCCCCACCCCAAACTCACTCTCTCAAACACTCAAATCCTAAGTGTTTTGGGTTTTACATTGAGGCTCTCTCTCTACATCTTTCCCTTCACCCTCCTCTCTCTATAATGACAAAACATGAGTATATATAGTGCAAGAAAAAAATAAAATAATCCTACGGTCTTAGATAAGCCACGTTGCTTAAGTCGCAAAACCGTAGAAAACAGGGATACACAAGAGGTTCGACCGAACCTACCCCCTGTTCGACCGAACTAAGGGAGGATTGGTCGAATTGGCCAAATGTCCGGTCGAACATCCAAGTCAGTAGCTACAACTTGATTTCCTTCAAATGGTTCGACCGAACTTTCAACAGTTCGGTCGAACTCCCGCACTGTGCGTCTACGTAGAAAGCTTTTCGTAAAACGGCCATAACTCCCTCAATTCTTAACCAAATCAAGCTTATGACCAGTTGTTGGAAATCTCTTGAGATGAGCTATCACTTCCAACTTGAATCATCACAATATCATTTCTAAATCTTGAGATATGCTCATTTGAAGTCAGCCTTTGCCTTTCATTGTTGCTTTGCACCAAGCAAACAATCCATAGCTTAACTCCAAAGCTATGCACCCTCTTGCCTTCTTGAACTGTTCTCCACACTTCTCAAACCCAACATCTAGTGAATGTTGTGTTTTTGACATATGCTTAATAAATGAATTGAAAATAAGAGCTACAAACTATGGAATAAGTTCGGTGAACTACACAAAGAAGCCCTATTAGCTCCAATGTTACAAACACTACAAAAGAATTGAGACACCTGCACAACCTCCTTACAATAAACAGCCGGTTTGAAAATCCAACTATTTGCCTTCGAACATGCGGCAAGATATACCAGACAATACCATTGTCGACTTTATATCTGATAGGTTGTCATACACCTGTTAAAAATAAATTCCTAACAAATCTAACTAACAATGTAGTAGGGTAAGTAGGGTCGAATCCACAGAGAGATGGTATTCAATCTAACCTCTAAGAAATTGGAAAAACTAAACAAATCACGAAATTTGGATAGAAAAGTAGTCTAAGTTAAAATAGGAATAAAACAATTAGTAAAAAGACCTAGGGTTATGATTCACCATGTTTATAGTTCTAAATCTATCAAATATCAATAACAATTCAATCAATCAATTATCTAGAACAATTGCTAAGCCTATGGTCAGATCTTAACGCTCTCAATTCAACATATGTAGTTCGATTGCTAACATAATCAGAATTGCTAATTGTAGGTAAGCCTCTAAAAGTAAGATCTTTCGATTCAAACTCTTATTAACAATAATTAATCAAACAATTGATCAGGTTGTAAGATAACATTATAACACTATCAATTAGAGATATGAATAATCAAAATATCAATAACATCAATCAAAATTCATTGTATAAACATGGATTCCCAAACCATAGAAATAAACTACTCTAGCATGAAATAAATAATTAAAACTAAATCTAGTAAAGAAAACATAGTAAAAAGAGAAATAAAATACCTTATTGAATTAATGTCACAAACTCAAGAGCAATCCATGGAGGAATTCATGGAATTGGCCAAGAGAAACTATGGCCAGGGAGATACTAAAACGAACGTAAAACAATAATAAAAGCATAAGGAGAAAATAAGTCTCCTTGAGTATTTATAATTCCCTGGAATTCTAATCTAAAAATAAATGAAGAAAAGAAATAAGAAAATATAAATTACACAAGTTGTCAAACGATTGGACGATAGAAGATGACGTGGCACGAAGATGCTCGATGGAATCGAGGGCCAAGCGAAAGACGTGTTGTGATGCCCCTTGCTTGCTGCTGTCGTGGGTCAGTTGGAGCTATAGCTCCCTGGTCGAGTGAGCTATCGCTCAGGGCTGGTGTTCCTCTCGGCACATGCGAGCTAGCTCGGGAGCTCTCGCTCACTCGTTGTTGGGCATTGTGTCGACTTCACAGGCTTGTAAATTCTGATGCATAAGTTGTATATAGGCGTGTGACCTACCGTTGAAAATCTCTTCAAGCCTAGTTTCCAATGCAGCTTGAATTACTTCAATCCGATCTGTAGAACTCAAGTTATGATCAAAAGAGTGAACAAAGGTCAGTTTTGACACTTTGTAAACCATCGTTTAACTTCGTTTTCAACTCAAATTCAATTCGGAAAGGCACATTGTAACCCTTATGAATGCTATGTTCATATTCCATGCACACAACAATCAAAATCAACATCCACGAACATGGGATCTTCAACTAATATACTCAATTCATCGGCTTCCATCCAAATATCATCCTAATCAACTCCAAACACTTCGAAAGCTCCAAATGACTATGAAATCACCTGAATCATTAAGAAAAACACAAATGAAGTGTAATAGATTACAAACAAACAATTTATGCATTTGTGACCTAAAAAGTGACAAAAAGACCTAAAAAGCAACTATAAACTTAGCATAAGCGTGCCTATAAATCCTATGTAAATGTGATTCATCAATATCCCACATTCCATTGATCTTGGGAGATTAGTGGAAGAACAAAGAACACACAAGCTTTAGAAAACAATAAATCTAGCTCAACAGAACACATAGTCCTGAAGATTAGGCAAAATATTGTGCTTAATTGAAATCTATCTAGTATCAAAATATTGCTTTATAAGTGCTAATCAAAATTTAGTGTTTGTTGGTATCCAATTGTTACCCAAAAAACATAACTTAGTACAAACAAGTTTCCACTATAGTATTTAATGACTCGCGTTACTAGAAACATACTTTCTCACTATATAATGAGAAGGCAGAGTGGCATATCTTGCACCCTTACAATAGGTTTGTCTTACCATTTAACCATTTGACAAATAGTGAAACGGTCATCGAGTTTTGGAATTTGTATTTTTGTTTATTGTAAGTAATGGAACTAATTCAAATCAAATCATAAAAATTTGAACCTCCAATATATAAAGTACGTATAAAAAGATATAGAAAGATATAGAATAATATAAAGAATTATAAATAAAAAAATACTTTTAATAGGCATGCTTAAGGTATTGTATAACTCACCTTAAAAATATAAGGAGTATTTGTTTTAATTGGTAAAAATTGATTTTATAAGTACCCTCATAAAACAAAATTCAGCTTTAATTAATAATATTAATAAGTTATAATCAATAAATTCAATTTTAGTATTAAATGATAATATTTAGTTTTAGTCAAGCTTGTTACAGATCAAGTGAAGTGAATGGGATGTTTAGAGATAGAGATACTGTTATCGTTCCTTCTAGTGTTTGGCCCATAAATATTGAACCAAGAAGACTTTGTAAGGATTTAGGACTAGTTAGGATACTTCTCTTCACGTTGAGTCATATATATAGAGACAATAGGGTTATCTTACTTTGTCCACTTGAATTTTAAATTGAAGGGAGTAGTATTAATATATTCAAATTTTTTCAATACTTTCTCGATATATAAGTTTGATACTTATCTGGTGGTTATATTAATGTAATGCAATTCATTTTATGTAGCAACTGTTGGAAGTTCTTGATATAAAACAAGAGTGTTGGAAGAAAACAAGAGAGAGAGACTCATAAATGAAAGGGAAAAAGTCCCACATTGGTTGGGGGGAGAGGTTTTGCCTTGTTTATATGTTGTAGTATCTTAGCACTACTTAGTTGAGTGACTTGGAGGTGGATTTTGTTCCACACACACGCCCGCGCCGAGCCGGGTCGGCCTCGGGCCTCGGGCCTCGGGACTTGGGGAATGCAATGCGCGGGCTTGGGTCCCTCTTATCTTTTTGGAGAAATTTTATTTCCTTTCTTTGTTGACAGAATATTCCTTAACATTTTATTCCGATTTCGACTGTTGAGATTTTCTGACTGTTGGGAATGTGTTCAGCGATTAATTCCTTGATTATAGTTGGTCGTTACTCTCCTTGGTTATTGCTCCATATTAATCGACTTAATCAGGACGCTTTTCTGGCCGAGCAGTTTCCTTCTTTTCTGCTAGCCATTTTCCCTTTGCTGCCTATTTATACTCGGTTTTTCTTCAGCCAAAATACTAAACAATGTTCTTTATTTTTCAGGGCAAGTATTCTGAATTCTAGTCGGGTTTGTGAATGGACATAAACTCCGGCGCCGTGCTTATCCTGGAGGGCGACCTCTTCTTGTCTACTGCACCGGGAGGTAGCGCGGAATCGTCTTTTAGGTTAGTGGTTCGCCACGACACGGATATTGTTAGTTTTGGTTCACGCATCAAGAGATAAGTAATTTTTGTTTTATTGCTTATAGTATAACAATCTAAAAGACGAGTATGTCTTCCAAATTTCTGATTCCTGATATGTCTAAGTTAGAACCTCTTGATGGCAAGATTTATAAACGTTGGGCTGTTAGTATGCGTTTTTATTTGGAAAAAATTGATGTTGCGTATGTGCTTGATGACATTATTGAACCTGTTGATAAGGATGATTGGTCCGAAACTGATGTTAAGTTTGCTAAAGATGGTAGAACATGTAAGGGCATGTTGCTGCATTATATGTCAAATAATCTGTTGGATATTTATATGGGTTTTTTTTATCATGCTAAAGATATTTGGGATGCTTTAGAGAAAAAATATGGGACTGATGATGCTGGTACTAAACGTTATTGTGTTAGTAAGTGGTTGAGTTTTCAAGTTGTTGATGATAAGCCTATTATTAATCAAATTCATGCTTATGAGAATATGTGTATTAATATAGCTGTTGAAGGTCTGTCTATTTGTGATATTACCATTGCTATCGTGTTGATTGAGAAACTCCCTCCCTCTTGGAAGGATTTTCGTAACCAATTGATGCACAAAAAGAAAGACCTAACCTTAGAGGAGCTTGTTGGACACCTCAAAATTGAGGAAAACCATATCAAAGACAAAGGCCATTCTGTTTTCCCTTCCTCTTCTTCTGCCAAGGTCAATCTTGTTGAACCCAAACCAAACAACCAGTCCAAAGCCAAAAACAGTTCTCTTAAGCCTAAAGGGAAGGTTGAGAAGTACAAGTTTAAGTGTACCTGTTTTGAGTGTGGTTTGACTGGTCACAAGGCTAAGGATTGTAGAGTCAAGAAGAAGAAGAATGGACAGAGTCAAGCGAATCTTATTGAGGGTTCTAACGTTATTGTTGCTGTTGTTTTAGAAGCTAACTTTACAAGTAATGCTGCTGAGTGGATTGTTGACACTGGAGCAACCAGGCACATCTGCGCCAACAAGGACATGTTCACCACCTATGACAAGATTGAAGGTGAAAATGTCTTTATGGGCAACTCATCTTTTGCTTCTATCTAAGGCAAAGGGAAGATCGTTCTCACTCTCACTTCTGGAAAATTGCTTACTCTCACTTAGAGGTGGCCAGTGGGCCGGGTTGGACCCAGCCCACCCTAACTCGCACGGCTGGTGGGTCACGTGGGTCCGACCCGGTTTCAATCCGGCACAGCTCGGATTTAATCCGGGTTGTGTCGTGGGTCCAAAATTTTCGACACAACCCATTTCAACCCAGCTCAGTTTAACCCGTTTGATTCGACCCAAATCGCACAACCCGTTTTGACTCATTTAATTCGACACACCTAGCCCGTGAACCCACCTAACCCGACCCACCTGGCACAACCCAGCCCGCACGGCCCACCCGCACGAATGACCCACCCAACCCGCACGAGCCAACCCACCTAACCCGCACGCATGACCCACCCAACCCGCCCGCATGACCCACCCAACCCGCACGGCCGGCACAACCCGCACGGCCCGCACAACCCGCACGGCCCGCACAGCCCGCACAATTCGCACGACCCGCACGGCCGGCACAACCCGCACGGCCCGCACAACCCGCACGGCCCGCACAGCCCGCACAATTCGCACGACCCGCACGGCCGGCACAACCCGCACGGCCCGCACAACCCGCACGGCCCGCACAGCCCGCACAATTCGCACGACCCGCACGGCCTAACATCCATTTTAAAAAAAAACGGCTAGTTTTTTGTATCTAACGACTAGTTTTTTAAGTGTATGATCATCCATTCTATTTTTCCTATAAATACCAATTCCATTTCACTCAAATTTCCACACAAATTCAAGCTTTCTTTCTCTCTTACTTAAAAATTCTTATTGTTCTCAAATTCTCAAGTGTTATATAGAGTTATATTTTTGTTAAAAAAAATCTCCTTAATATTATTATTAGTATTCTTAAGATTCTAAAAAAAAAAAGTTCTTCTCCATATTATAATTAGTAATCATACAAAAAAAAAAATGAGCTCAAGAGGAGGAATGGGAAGGAGTCAAAGTGGTGGTCGAAGTGGTAGCCAAAGGAGTGGTGGTGCAAATTTTTCGTATGAAATTAATACGGAAAATTTAAACCAATTTGTCAATGAATATGGAGATTATGGTTTAGGAGATAGGCAAAATATTCAAATGTCTCCACCACAACATTTCTCCCACGAGTCCCACCAATCATCAAGTTCAACTATGCCACCTCCATCGCAACCAACATCTCAACCTTCATCTCAAGGTAATTTCTAATTAAATTTTTATTGTTATGAATATTTAAAAAAACTATTATTAATGATTATAAAGTTAGTTTAGTTTCCAATTTTCTATGATTTACAATTAGTTAATTACCATGAAAAATGCGTTTAAATAAGTATAATTAAAATATTTAAAATTTAAAAGCTTATTTTCATGAATAGCATTTAAAAATTAATTTTAATAATTTGATTTATGAAAGGTGGTGGCGGTGAAAGTAGAGGTCGAGCACATTTTTCTTGGGTGTGGAAACATTTTGAACGAGTTGAGGTCACACCCCCGGGATGGCAACCTGGTCAACCAAAGAGGTTCACGTGTACATGCCTAGTTTGCAAGGCGCTAGGTGCAAATGTCAAGTCATATAATTGGAAAACGGGAGATGGAACCGGAACCTTGAGTCGGCATTTGCAAAATAAACACGACTTGTTCGAAAATGGCCCCCGTCCTTCGGGGGGTGGCGTCCAAACACAATTGGGTGGATACATGAACCAACCCGGCGGAGGTACACCTTTCATTTATAATAAAGATAGAATGATTGATGAAATGAGTACTTTAGTTATTGCTAATGAATACCCTTTTAGTTACGGTGAAAATGCAAACGTTGAGCATTTTAATAAAGTTGCATTACAACCTGCATTTACTCGTGTCCCCCGAAATACCCTAAGACGTTATACACAAACTTCTTATTATAAGTATAGGAGTGGTTTGATTGAATTATTTCGTACTTTTGATGGTCGTGTTAGTTTTACAAGTGATACATGGACTTCTAGTTTTGGCGAACCTTTTCTTTGCATTACTGCTCATTGGGTGGATGATGATTGGTTTATTCAAAAACGTATACTATGTTTTCAAGCTATGGAAGAAAGGCATACCGGTTTTAACATCAAAGTTCGTATTTTGGATTGTTTAAAAGAATTTCACTTGAATAATAAAGTTTTTTCTTTGTCTCTTGATAATGCAACTGCAAACACAAAGTGTATTGACTATTTGAAAAATGACTCCGAGTTGAATTTGTTGTTGGGTGGTAGTCTCTTGCATGTTAGATGTTGTGCTCATATTTTGAATTTGTCTGTTCAAGAGGGTCTCGCTGAGTTGCAACCATTGCTAAACCCAATTAGAACAGTTATAAAATGGATTAGGATTACTCAGTCAGTTAGAAGAAAGTACATAGCTATGTGTAAAGAGAGAGGTCTTAAGAAAAGACAATGGTCTATTGATACCCCTACCCGTTGGAATTCTACTTTCAAGTTGTTGAGTGATGCTATAAAGTATCGTGATATTTTGACCCAACTTTACAATGAGACTCGTGTTGATCCTACTGAGTTAATAACCGAAAGTCATTGGACTAATGCTTCTTTTGTTCGTGATGTTTTAAATGCTTTTGATAGTGCAACTCATATTTTCTCTTATATTTATGAGCCTAACGTTCATTTAGTCATAATTGAGTGTGTTAAAGTTGTTCACACCATCGAAGAGCATATGAAGATTGATGGACTTCGTCCCGTTCTTGATAGCATGAAACGTAAGTGGCATACTTATTTTAGTGAATTTCCAATCATTTATGGAATTGCTGCTATTCTTGACCCCGGTGTCAAAGCTGAAGGTTTGGAAAATCTTTTAGAATTTTATTATACAAGTTTAAGTATCGATTATGATGTTAGTGAATATATTAACAAATGCAAATCTGTTTTGGGAGACCTTTATGATCATTATGCATCTATTTATGGTTTTGATTTGGCAACACCAACTACTACTAGCACTTCCGATTCTAGATTTGGTTTTCTTGATAAAGTTATGAAAAAAAAACACAAAGCATCTACATCATTCTCATCATCATCTTCTTCAACACTTGCTATTAATGATTATTTGTCATATCAACATGAGACCAACAACAACTTTCAAATTATAAAATGGTGGCAAGAACATAAAAAAAGTTTTCCTATATTGGCGAGAATTGCAAAAGATATACTTGCAGTTCCCGCTTCATCTGTTGCTTCCGAGTCTGCTTTTAGTGCAGGTAGAAGAGTGTTAGATGAAAAAAGATCTCGCTTAACTCCGGAAAGCATTCAAATTTGTGTTTGTAAGAAAGATTGGGATCAAGCTGAAAGAAGAACTCAAGGTTTAAAGGAAGACGAAGACGATGAAGATGATCCTGTGATGATATTGGAGTCGTCAACGGATGATGCAGCTTCCGGGGATGATGATGCAACAAACATGGGTGGCTAGAAAAGTCTAAATCAGGTACGCTAAGAACTACGTGGGCTTTGATTCTTTCGGGATACGTAGGCAACTTATTTTTCGAAAATTACAATTTAATTGCAAAATTAAATTTTAGTTTTCTAAAGATAGGTCCAAGCCCCCCCCCCCAAATTTCAAAAGAAGTACAATATAAGAACTACGCTGGCTTTGATTCCTTATTTTATAATATAAGGATACGTAGGCATCTTAATTAAGAGCAAGCCATCAAATTGTTAATTTTGTAAAAATTAAAACACCACACAACCCACCCGACCCTAACCCACGAACCCACCCGACCCTAACCCACAAACCCACCCGACCCTAACCCACCTAACCCACAAACCCACCCGACCCTAACCCACTAACCCACCCGACCCTAACCCACCTAACCCACAAACCCACCCGACCCTAACCCACTAACCCACCCTTCGACCCACCCTAACTCACTAACCCACCTTGACCCGTCTAACCCACAAACCTAGCTCGACCCACCCATGACCCGTCTAACCCACAAACCTAGCTCGACCCACCCACGATCCGTCTAACCCACAAACCCAGCTCGACCCACCCACGACTCGTCTAACCCACGAACCTAACCCTGGTGTGTCCAACTTCTCCGACCCAACCCACGACCCGGCCCACCCTACCCTACGTGTGTCGTGCCGTGTGTCATGAAACCCCAACCCGCGACCCACCTAACCCTAACCCAGCTCGCACGACTCGCACGGTGGACACCTCTACTCTCACTAATGTTTTGCATGTTCCAGAAATGCACGGGCAGTTTGCTCATGAAAGCTGACTGAAGCTCTCCTTTGATTCTGATAGATTAGTTCTTGCTCGCAATGGGGAATTTGTGGGGAAGGGCTTTGTAATGGGGGGCTTTTTGTAACACCCCAATAATTCTCTTTAAAAGAAAATCTGTAAAAACCTATGAATATAACCTGTAAAACCTGTAAGACCTGTATAACCTGTGAAACCTGCAAGACCTGTAAGAGAATTATTGGAGTGCTACCGCCACGTGTTCAAACGTTAAGGCTAGTTTCAGAAATCAGCAGCGGAAAACTAACTTAGTTTTAAAAAGAACGTAAGTTCCAAAACTGGAAGTCAAAACTCAAAGTCTTACAAGTTGGAACCATAACGGCCCTTATTCAAAATCCAGTAAAAATAGGAAGTAATGGAACCAACACCAAAATAAAATTCAATCTGTGTTATGAAATTAGCTAACTGGTTAACCAACTCTCCACTCAAATCCCATCACCCTGATGCAAGACAGTTTATGCAAAAACCTATGATGAATCTGCTCCCCAATATCACAAGTGTAATAATTGGATCATTACAGGGTCATTGAAGGCGAAGGCCATGACCAAATAAAGACACACAAGAGCACGCAGTCAGCAACGCTGAGCACATACAAGTTACGAAATATAATAAAGAGTTCTAGCATGATACTAACAAGCATTCCATACACTCACAATATTATCATTGACTCGAACACGACTCCATAGTTACTCATTACTAAATTTTTGTTTAAATAACATTGAACATCTCATTAATTGATTGGATTAAGCAATAGACCGGGTTGTCCCCCTGTGCTCCATTCCGGAACATTAAATAAGAAAACCCTATGCCTCCTTTCGGAAGACATTAATAAACATCCAATGGCAGACGGGCGCGACTCCGTGGCCCTAGCTAGCATGAGATCTCATCTAACTCATTATAATTTTAAAAGAATTTAAAACAAGAGACTCGTAGATCAGACGACCTCTGGAAAGTGCACGGCTAATACCCCGTGAACCCCAACCCATGTTTGTCATTACTCTAGATGTGCACAAATCCAGAGGTTTATTGCTCATCCTTCTTGCACTTTACGTGATTTACCAGTTTAGATTAGGTGACGACTCATATGCAACCAACACAACCAATACATCAATCATACAAATCATTCAAGTTTCCAATTAAATTCTCAATTTATTATTGCATCCTTTAACTACCTCGGTGTATAAACACCTTAAGTGCATAAGGCACCACAAATTCTCAACTTTGTTTTATAAGACTTTAATTCTTCCTTTACTCATTCTATTTCAATATAAACGAACAAGTAATCAAAATAATTCATTACCAAACAACTCATTACCAAACAATTCCAACCAATCCACAAGTTCCCTAGCATGATTCTAGGTTTTTCCAAGTCCCTAAACATGCTCCTAAAATCAAGGTTCCTCGTATTCTTGTACGTACCTTGAGTAAACAAATTGATTGGCCACCTTAAAGCTAGAAGTCACCTTCTATGAAGTCCTCTCCTAAACAAAACAACAGTAGTTCAATCAATCACCCAAGCAATATATTTTACAGCAATACCAACTACTTTAAAATCCTTTAAATCATTGAAACAATGCTCTTAAATTATTCCCAATAGCCAAAGTTAATAATTTAGTACTTGAACTATGAGTTTATATGCTTAAATCACAAAAATATGGCTTATAGCAAAAATTTCAGCAACTTTAAAGTAATGTAATAAATCTGAAAATTCGTTTTAAGCATGTAAAACAATCTCGCAAACATTTTCACTTGAAACAATCATCATATAGTACATTAGTATGTCGAGAACTTGAAAACCCATCATAAAACCATGACTTAAAGCTATTTAAAGTTAAGATTAAAATCTGAAATTTCAGTTTAGTAGCAAAATATAGGGATACATATATCCAAACTTGAAGTATATGATTAAAATTCAATTACATTCATAAATACCCCATTAAACTTTCAAATTTCACAACTTAAACCTTAATATATATATAATTTAAAATCTGAAATTTAGTTTATAATCAAGGTAATTAAGTTTAAACATAATTTTATACATACTATAATCAAATAATTTAATCCTCCTGTCTTGAACCCAAAATTCAGCTTTCTTTAAAGTCTAAAAATTATTATACTCATCGAAAATTAAGGTTAGGATCTTAATTAAACACAAGGTAAGTACTTAAATCAATCATTCATGTTTTAAACCCCCAAATCATGAAAAATCAATACTTAAAACCCAAAATCAGATTTTCTGAAAATCTGAAATTTGTTTACAATCATCAAAATTTAAAGATAGAACCATGTTTAAATATAAGGTAATTAGGTAATTCAATTATTCATGGTTTAAGCCCAAAATTTGCGAAATTCACGAAGAATTAAACCCTAATTTCGTAGCTAATAAAATCTGAAATTATTCACATGCTTAGTATATCATAAACTCAACAAATTCGCAACATAACTCAATAAATTTGCAATATTTATCATGCATATGCATAATCAAATCAAAAAAATTATATAAAGATTGAATTTTTAAAGAAATTAAACAAGAAAAGAGGAAGATAGAAGAGAAGGGAGTAAGGGGAAACCGGCTGGGCACGGTCGTGCTGGGCGGCTGGGCGGCTGCGGGCAGGCGGTGGCAGCAGGCTGGGCAACGGTGGTGGTGGTGCTCGGTGGTTGTGACTGGGCAGCGTTATCTCTTTTTTTTTTTTTTTTTTTTTTTTTTTTTTTTGTGTGTGTGAGTGTTTCGTGAATGAGGGCAGGGAAGGAGGGAAAGGGAGTAATAAGGAGAAGCAGTTAGGAGGGTTTTTGGGAGGGGTTTACTTAATTAAAAAAAAGAATGGGGAGGAATAAGGTAAGTTTACTTAATAAAAAAAAATATGGTTTAAAGATTTTTCTTGGTTTTATTTGTTAAATCTTTCCAAAAGAAAATATTTATAAAGTATAAAATTATTACAAAGTATTTGTATATGAAAAAAAATATAATTATAATTTGCTAAGGAAAATATGGGGGATTACACTTTTTACTCTTGATGTTAAAATTGACAATATGAATAAGAATGCTAGTACTTATTCTGCTTATATTGCTAAGTCTATTGATTTATGGCATGCTAGATTGGGTCACGTTAACATTGATTCGATTAAAAGGCTTAAAAATTTAAATTTGATTCCACGTTTTTCTAACACTGATTTTTCGAAATGTCAAATTTGTGTTGAAGCCAAATTCACAAAGAAGCCATTTAAATCAGTAGATAGACAGACTGAAGTACTAGAACTTGTTCATAGTGACTTGGGTGATTTTAATAATCACGAGAGCAGAGGGGGTAAAAAGTATTACATTACTTTTGTTGATGATTGTTCACGTTTTGCATGGTTTATCTTCTCGGGTCTAAGGACAAAGCTGAGGAAATGTTCCTCAAATATAAAGCTGGGGTAGAAAACCAATTGAACAAGAAGATTAAGAGGGTTAGGAGTGATAGGGGTGGTGAGTATAATCCTGACACTCTTAAGGCATTTTGTGAGCAACTCGACATTGTACATGAGACGACAACTCCCTATTCACCCGAACAAAACGGTATAGCTGAAAGAAAAAATAGAACTTTACTGAATATGATGAATTATATGCTTATTAGTTCTGGGCTTCCTAATAACATGTGGGGGGAGGCTATTTTTTCTGCTTGTCATGTTTTGAACAGGGTTCCTCATAAGAAGCTTGACAAGACTTCATACGAAATATGGAAAGGTCGAGTACCAAACCTGAAATACTTGAAAGTGTGGGGGTGCCTAGCAAAAGCAGGCATACCTAGTTTCAAAAGGGACAAAATTTGTCCTAAAACAGTTGATGCTATTTTTGTTGGCTATGCTTATCAAAGTGCAGCTTATCGTTTCTTTGTTAAAGGTACTAACAACTTTTATGCAGGTGGCCATATCATTGAGGAAAGAGATGTAGAATTCTTTGAGAACATTTTTCCTTGGAAAATGTCTCCCCCTAATGATAGTGAATTACCTGCTAGTAGTTCTGTTATTGTTAATGCTCCTATTACTAACGATGATTCTGTTTTGGAGCCAATTAAGGAGAAGCAAAAGGGCACGAAAGGACAACAGTTGTGGTCCCGATTTCATTACTTCCTTTTTATTTGAATCTTCCTTAACTGATGATGATTTTTTGCATATCTTTGTTTTGGAAGATGATCCAAGAGCCTATGATGAGGTAATGAGGTCAGTTGATGCTGTTTTTTTGGAAAGAAGCAATTGATAGTGAGTTGCAATCAATTCTCAATAATAACAACTTGGGAATTGGTTGAACTTCCTAGAGGTTGTAAGTCCATTACTTGTAAATGGATCTTTAGGAAAAAATTGAAAGCCAATGGATCCATAGAAAAGTATAAGGCAAGGATAGTGGTAAGGGGTTTTACTCAAAAGTTTGGCATTGATTATTTTGATACTTACTCCCTTGTCACTAAAATTGCAACCATTAGGACTTTAATTGCTCTTGCTTGCATTTTTTATCTTGTTGTTCACCAAATGGATGTCAAAACTGCATTTTTTATTTGTGACTTGGATGAGGAGATTTTACATGGTCCAACCTGAAGGGTTCGTTCTTCTGGGCCAAGAGAACAAGGTTTGTAAGTTAGTCAAGTCATTGTATGGGCTTTCGATAAATTCGATAAGACTATGACTGGTAATGGTGTTCATGTTAATGAAGGTGACTCATGTGTTTATTCTAAGCATGATAGTCTTGGTTGTGTGATTATTTGTCTTTATGTGGATGACATATTAATTTTTGGGACTGACTTGGATCGGGTAAATGAGACAAAATAGTTTTTGAGTTCCAATTTTGAAATAAAAGACATGGGTGAGGCAAATGTGATTTTGGGAGTAAAAATCAAAAGGAATCCAAATGGCATCTGTCTTAATCAATCACACTATGTTGAAAAACTTCTTAAGAAATTTGACTCATTTAATGTCGATCCAGTTAAGACTCCATATGACCCAAGCTTCCACCTAAAGAAAAATAATGGTGATCCAGTTGATCAGTCTGAATATGCTAGAATTATTGGTAGTGTTATGTTTCTTATGAACTACACTAGACCTGACATTGCTTATTCTGTTAGTAGGTTAAGTAGGTACACTAATAACCCAAGCAGTGATCATTAGATTGCTCAAAGGAGGTTGCTTAGGTACCTTAAGGGTACTATGGATTGGGGTTTGCACTACTCCAAATTTCCTGGAGCTTTGGAGGGTTTTTGTGATGCCAACTGGGTATCCGACAATGATGAAGTTAACTCCACCAGTGGCTATGTCTTCACCCTTGGGGGTGGAGTCGTATCTTGTAAGCGATCTTGTAAGCGATCTTGTACTGCTATATCTACTATGGAATCTGAGTTTATTGCTCTTGAATTGGCATGTCATGAGGCAGAATGGTTGAGGAACATGCTTGCTGATATTCCACTATGGGCAAAGCCAGCTCCTTCAGTTGCACTTCACTGTGATTTGCAAGCTGCGATTACTGTTGCACACAACCATGCCTATAATGAGAAGAAGAGACACATTCGTCTGAGGCATAAGGCCGTCAGAAATTTGTAGTCTGAAGGGGTGATATCACTGGACTATGTTAAGTCCGAAAAGAACATTGCGGATCCGTTGGCTAAAGGCCTATGTATAAAACTAGTTTTGGAAACATCGGAAGAGATGGGGCTAAAGCCCGTTGTATGAATTGTGAAATAGTGAACTCCTACTCACTATGAGTTCAAAGGGAAATATTATATAATAATTAGGAAGCACAGTTTTTATTTTTTGTCCATCTCTAGATGTTTGTTTTGTGCTTAGCTACAAATGAGAAAGAGGTTGAGCATATGACTCTTAACGAACCCATATCTATATTTTTGGAGGTGTGTTGTAGCTCACACTTGATGGGATTCACCTACTTAGGTGTGGAAGTGTGGCCACTTCCTATGAGTATTTCGTGGGCTTATACTCTAGAGCACCTATGAGCATCCAAGCTTGGACGTATGACCAGTATAATGCGTCACCTTTATTTGCGGAATCAGAATATTATACATGTTCGATTGTGTGGCTCAAAGTGACAGGTCCCTAACTCCCTATTGAGTTCAAGAGGAAGGTCACTTGGTAGGTGAGGGATCATAGCTTGATGTCCACTATGTGTTAATTCAAATCGCGAGACATTGACACTTATGCAATTGTTTTATTTTGCCCGGAATCATTTTTTTTTCTTCCTTTGAGTTCTTTTTCATTTCTTCGAACCTGTGGGGGATTGTTGGAAATTCTTGATATAAAACAAGAGTGTTGGAAGAAAACAAGAGAGAAAGACTCACAAATGAAAGGGAAAAAGTCCCACATTGGTTGGGGGGAGAGGTTTTGCCTGGTTTATATGTTAGTTGAGTGACTTGGAGGTAGCTGTTGTACCACACACACGCGCGCGCGTGCCTCGGGACTTGGGTCAGGTCGGGTCGAGCTCGTGCCTCGGGACTTGGGGTCTTGGGGAATGCGATGCGCGAGCGTGGGTCCCTCTTATCTTTTTGGAGAAATTTTATTTCCTTTCGTTGTTGACAGAATATTCCTTAACATTTATTCCAGTTTTGACTGTTGAGATTTTCTGATTGTTGGGAATGTGTTCAGCGATTAATTCCTTGATTATAGCTGGTCGTTACTCTCCTTGATTATTGCTTTGTATTAATCGACTTAATTAATCTGGACGCTTTTCTGGCCGAGCAGTTTCCTTCTTTTCTGCTAGCCATTTTCCCTTTGCTGCCTATTTATACTCGGTTTTTCTTCAGCCAAAATATACAACAATTCGTACCTCTCTCTCTTCTCTAAAATACTAAACACTGTTCTTAATTTTTTTGGGCAAGTATTCTGAATTCCAGTCGGGTTTGTGAGTGTACATAAACTCCGGCGCCGTGCTTATCCTAGAGGGCGACCGCTTCTTGTCTACTGCACCGGGAGGTAGCGCGGAATCGTCTTTTAGGTCAGTGGTTCGCCACGACACAACTACTGTCAGTTTTGATTCACACATCAAGAGATAAGTAATTTCTGTTTTATTGCTTATAGTATAACAACTTCTTATACCGATTGGGCATAATCATTGTTAATTGCTTAATGGGGCTTCTTACCGGATCAATAAAACTGTATAAAATATAGCAAAAGTTCTTTTAAATGGGCATAATTATTAACAAGTCACAATTTAATACATGGGTATATTAATTATTTAATTAGAGATTTCTCAAATGAGCTTATAAAATATTCATGGTGCTAAGATACCAAGTATCATGTATGATGGGCTGATACTATTTTCTAGCTAGCCTTTCCACTTTGTTCCACGATTACTATTTGTATACATTTTGTATCCACTATAATATATACTCAACAATTACTTATATTATCCAACAAATATTATGGCTTATCTTATGAAATGAATATGTGAACAACAAACTGATCGATCTCTTGCCACTTTGCCGGCCATCGTAGACTTCCAATAAAATACAATCCTAAGTTATGTTATCTAGACCGTTCATTACCTTTTTAGTATGTATGTCGGATTCTCAACATTTTAATATGGGTATGAGTTTATCGTCACTTTCTTTTAGAACAAAATCATTAAAAACTTTCATAAATAGCCAAAAAGAGATTAACACTTGGACAAAATTATTATTCTTCTTCCCGTCAAAAAAACAAAAAAAAAAAAAAAAAAAAAAAAAATCAAGATTTTGCTTATATTACATGGCACATATATATGTGGCAATTATTGCTT